CCTCGAAATTAAATGCAAGTAGTGCGTAAAAAAGCAAAGTACTTGCAAATTGTTAATCACTTGTGAACTACGATTAAAAAAAATCATTGCTTTTCCGCCATGTTCTTACTTAATTATTACTATATATATCATTATTGTGAAACCTTAAATTTCTAGTTCCAGCCACGAAGTCCCATAAATGAGTTTTTGATACACATTCATGCCAAAAGGAAAATAATAACTACTTATTGTTGAATTTAAAAAGCTTCAAAAACATAAGTGAGGTAAACGACTTTCTCATCTAGAAATGTTGAGATTCTCACACACAACGGAGGGTTTTTCTGGACGCAGTCATATTCTTCTATTGAACGTACATCAGGCGAAATTTGACTGACGGACATTTAACATAATCTATTGTCATTCCATCTGTTTAAATAAACACTGAAGAATGGATCTACTGAATATTAAGAGTGACATGGATCAAAGATGAGAAATTCTGACATGTTAGGAGATTACGATAGACGTGAGTGTGATGACAGATATTTACGGTAACTGATTTGTAGACACTGCGCTCATTATTTTTTTATTTTTTATTTCAGCTTGATGCCACACCATATTTTCAGTACAAGTATGGAATTTTCAGCATGTATATCGGTAGCCCAAATTTTGCAGGCCGACCATAGATATCAGGTGTGTTTCGGCAGGTGATCGAACCCCGGACCATGTGCATGGTCGGCGAGAAACGTAACCACTATGCCACGACGCACAGCCCTGAACAACTGATTTTAATCCTAACCTGTATCTCATCTTCAAAACACATAACTGTTTCGTATAATTCACAAACTCAACGAAAGGTGGTATTCATGAATGTAATACCAAATGAATGGTTAGGGACGAAAAAACAATTATGTCTCGGCAATAACAAATGATAATATCGGCGCTCTTCAGAAAAATAACTGATATAATGCAGGTTGGAGTGCAACCATCAGTTCCGAAACCAAAATTATCCCCATAAATGTGACGAGTTAAGTCATCTGGTGACGAATTAAGAGTGAGTTGGACTCATCATTTACAAGAAACCAGTTTTTTACGCTGCTTGAACGGCTTCCAGGTCGTTTCTGACCGGCTTGGACTAGCAATAACGCCCACGATCGTTGTGTGGCCACATATTCTGCTAGACCGGAACTTTGGCGACACTACATGATGGCTCTTTGGCCTGACCCACTTGACCTAGTGGCTAGTCTGTTCCTAACACTGCCCCAACTAGGGGAGAAAGAATATAACCCTTGCGGCTGTCCAAAGATATATTTGTTGACAATGGTGCAGAGACAGTACAGGGATATACAGTCACACCATAACGCACAACTGCACTCTTGTATCTTGGAAACCAAATCGTCTGCAATCTAATCCATTCAGTACAGATAAACAAATCGACCGTTAAAAGATAAATGGCTGAGATTCAGCTGGATAAACGAACTTCTTTGATCCCCCACAGGATATCGTGCGAGAGGAATGGGCTGGGACCCATTAGACTGTCTTCTAAGCGATTGATACCATTTCAGTCTCAGTAACTGTTTTCATCCAAAACTTTGGTAGAATCAATCACTGTATTCTTCAGTAGAAACAGCTCTTGACCAGAGCAGGTAGTCGCCTCGTAAGTTGGTTTAATAGCACTACCTATCAGTTGGTGGCGATTTCGGGGATCAAAGAGCAGGTTGTGATGATGCAGGTGATCCATGCCTATGGTAGGCATAGTAACATCAGCAAGGAAGAAGGTGTACTGAATAAGTTTATGTAAGCCTACCTTCAAATAGTTACATTTCCCGGATGCTGCAGTGGGTTTTCACATTTGCAGCCTGTAAAGTGAAGGCAAGTTCTTTATGGAAGTCCCTCTCCGTATCAGGGAGTCCACGAACATATGTAACGGTGCCAAGCAGGTAACCGGTTTCGCTAACTGCACCTCGAATAAAAATTGCGTGGCTATTGCCACTGGCTAAGTTCGCACCTAATGCGCACCAGCGAGATAGTCTGCCATAGTCGTAGCATCCTTGCTAAAAAGCAAGGTTTTTGACAACATTGTGGTACATAGACTACTGTGAGTTCTTGGTTGAACGTGGTTTGATTCCAGGAGATCACGTGTGTCACGACGTTGAGATGAATTTTATCGTGAGAGCTCTCTGACTTAAGAAATCGCTAAAGTTAGTGGCATAACCCTGTCGTTTCAAGGTCAACACTCGAAGATTATCTACCGGTCGAGCAAACTTCAGCAACTAGCTACGTCATCAACTATGAATTCCTGAAGCGCCACGAGCACAGTGGGAAAAAAAGACTCTAAAGTGTACCTTGACGAATTTCCATTGGCTGATAACTTAATGCACTCTTGAAAACACTGTACAGCCAAACCATCTCCTTACTCGAAAGTGTATTAGAGTTCCTCATAACTTTGGCAATCGGAATGATCATTTCCTTCAAGGATAACTACTTTCAGCATTTCAAAGTGATCACTAACTTCGAAAGTGAACTTATGTGAAGTAACGCAAATTCATCTTTCCACGCAGTGCATGCATAATTGCTGGGAATTGTGGACACGAATCAGTTATACCATGCTCACCGAAATTAGCTTCAGAGTCCAGAAACCATGTTTCTGCGCTGTTTGGTCAAAGGGCATGAGCCGGATAAGTATAATTTTTTGAGTCTGTTAACACATTGTAAAGATTGTTTAAATTAAAACTTAGCTTAGATAAAAAATTCAAATCAGATGAACGCTCCGAAACAGAGAAGAATGTCTGCGTGTTAACAAGCCCAGACGATTAGGTTCATGAACGGATTCTCCAGTTTACCGCAGTTATACTATTCGCTTCCCAACATAAAAAGCAACTAGAGGCAAGAGACCATTGATGGCGCAGGTTTTTTTTCCCAAAACACACGAATTTTAAACTAGTGAAGGTAGCGGTTAAAAAATCGATGTGGCAGAACAGGTTTATAACTGACAAAAAACGACATGGATAGAAACACATATCATCAACACTTAGTAATGTGGACTTGAAGAGTTCTGTACACAACACTAAAGTAGAGGTAATTTCATCTGAGTCAGCACCATCTTCATGCAGGCCTGATATAAAACCGAAATTGTCTGATAATATTAATCCACTATCAAGTATACGATTTTCCACCATGGGACACTTTGTTAGGACGGACAACCTATCGCTGTTACCTGCGCATTCATGACTAGTGCATGCACTGATATGATAGCCTGATTAGATAGCCTTTGACTAGTCTGTTTTTGGGTGATTTTCGAGGTCATATAACCGACTGCATTTTGATTTACTTTAAACTTAAATTTTCCAAAGATTTTATAGACTACATGTATCCTGTATTCTGAATAATATGACGTTTGTCACGGCTGTCGCAGTTAAATTGGACTTTTGTGCCTATCTCAGTTTTGGGAATATTTTAAAGTGATCAGGTAGTTTTACTGTTATGTCTGGAGTAGCATCCTAGTCGAGTTAAGTGATGTTCATAGATGACTAAGATTTCATCATAACATTCACCATAGAAAAATAAACACTGAGGGCATAGTGATGCGAAAAACACTCAAAAAATAGAAATACTCTTACTGGACCACTTACGATCAAGTGCCCTAGTAGGAGTCGTTTCAGTGGTCTGAACCATACTAATAACCCCACCACCGATTCGAACTTAACGGGTACAAGTGAGAAAATGCGAAAACTTAGGAGGTCTGTGTGGTTAAAATCCCTTAAGATACATTAGGGACGAAACAACGGTGTGCTGAATGAGACTATTATCAGAAGACAGCATTTACTTGGTACATTAGGCCAAACACAAACCAGTAGGCACCATGATAAAAAACTGTCAATCCACGGAATCCCTAACATTTACTGCGTTACTGTAGGAACTAACAGATCTTTTAGCTCTGCATTCCAAAACGCTAGTATTAGTTTCTTGTAAACAAGAACAGAGCTAGTCAAATGAGCAGTTACCAAATAAGAACCGTCTATGTATAAATGACGAGTCTAATAATATAACAGGCTGAATAAAATAATTTATCATTATGACTAATCTTGTGGGACACGCCGACAGAATGTTTGTAAACCTCATTACAGAGGACAAACACTTACTTACTTACTTATTATAGCTTGATTCCACACCGTATTTTTGGTACAAGTATGGAATTTTCAGCATGTGATATCAGTAGCCCAAATTTTGCAGGCCGACCATAGATATCGGGTGTGCGCCGGCAGGGGATCGAACCCCGGACCGTGTGCATGGTCGGCGAGAGTCCTAACCACTGTGCCACCGACGCACACGAATAGCTGGAGATCTTTTCGTTTCAACCTTTGCCGACACACTTAGCTTTGCAACTAATAGTGAAAATTCTGTAGTATTTGCATCAACTAGTCTTATTTGTATATTTACTGAAGGGGCTAATATACAACCCGATGTTTGTAGATGGAAATTGCATAGACGTTCGATGAAAGATAGCAGTAGAATCCAGGACTCACATTTCGTCCTGTTTGAGACATACTCGGTAGATCTATCGGCTCTTAGTGTGTGATGACGCTTGAACTAAGATTCACACCCAGTCCCCACTGCTTTAAATGCCAGAGAATCATCCACCAGAACACCATCTCACGAAAGAGTTGATTCATGTAGGTCAGTTGAGTTGTTATTCACTTTTGAGAAGTTAGCGGCAACAACCAAGGAATATTGAACGGTGGCCATAGTATGCACTTTCTGGAGGAAACGCAAACAGCTTTCTGTGATCCGATTCTTGAACTGTTTTGCTTAGTTTATGAAGAATCATAAGGGCCAGATAGGTGCAACTGTGGATGGACAGCTGAGGAAATTATTGGTAGCACTTTGCGAAGATCTCGTGTGCGTGCCGATGAGACGAAGCATACACCGATAAGGAAGATTTTCGGTATAACCAGCCTGTTGTTCAGTCTGCATAAGTGTGAAAAATTTTAAGTTGTAAGCTGGGACGTGTCGCATGGTGTTAAATATTGCACTACAGGTCAGCTTCATGAAGTTAACTAACAAGCTACTGAGATGGTCAATAACGAAAATAAGGATTTCAATGGAAACAAGAACGATGGAAATAAAACAAGACAGTCCCTCTATGAATGCAGATCAGAAACAGAATGACAACGAACTAAGTGACCGAACACATATACGCCTGACCATTAGCACATGTGACACGTGGCGATCGAGTGCAGCTGAGATCTCTAGTGAATTGTCGTCCCATAGTCGTGAACTGTTAGACAGGAGCTCAAATCCATTACGACACGAACCGCTGACTTAACGTCTAATTTATTAGGCAATAGGACAATATCTCAGCTTACATCCCCATGCCTTTCGATGACTGAAATATCACCATATGTCATTTAACCCTTCTGGATTCTAACAACCATGTGTCTGGAAGCAGAGCTTTTCAACCATCCTAGGTGAACCCGAAATATCCGCTAACTCGGTGGTAGGCGCTAGACATTTGCTCAATTCGGCACGAACATCCATCGCAACGAGTGAAGGCAGTGAATACGACTGGTCTAACAGTAGTGATTAGAGATCATTCTGAAAGAAAAATTGAAGTCGACCCATCATCGGACGTACCACGTCATTCGTCCATCAAGTGACAAGGGTAAATTGTTGGGTAGATAGATTTCTAGTTGTACAACCCGTCACCTGATGAAACTAAAAGTCGTTTTTAGCACAAAGTAGGAAGTAACAAAAGCAATTGCTTATTTTTAAGGTTAAGGCGAGTATCAGTGGTTTATCATTTAACCGGTGTTTCATTACTTTTTTGGGTGAGATAACGCTTACAGGCCGGATTGCAACTCAACGCCTTGCAAAACAGAAACAATATTGTAATCTGAACAAATAACTATTGTCTAACTTATTTTTATGAATAGCATCTCTCCTTTGGGTGATTATGATCAATCTTCATGGTAGTGATGACGAAATCCTAAGTGTAGTCACCAGTCGGTCAAAATAAGATTATCCGGTATTTGGTGAATTATATCATTATAATTCCATTAGATTCCGAATGGAGCACAGGGGACTTCAACAGCACACCTCCATTTGAACCTGTTTTCCACATTCCCCTTTAGCTGGCTTCCTGATTGCCCTGAGGGTCTCATCTCCGCTTCACAGGATGGCAGCTTATGGACGGTCATAAATGCCTAACGACTATCCCCTACTCTTTCCTGGGCTTACTACAGGTTGGTAAACTAAGCGAGATTTAGGCGTGCGTCAGCTGAGAATTGAATCCAGACCTCCCACCTGACTGATTACTGAATCATAGACAGATAACGCATTATTTATGCTACTTCTTATTAGCAATTCAATTATAAAAAAACAAAACAAGAGGCGGTGCATCAAAAATACTATAAAATATTTACATTTATTGGAAAATAAAATAAAAATACAGTTAGCATCAGTGAATAAAATTATCATAAGCTAGAAATATTTAAACCTTTTTTACCAGAAATTATATTTATAAAAGTAGTTAAATCATCTGGATTGGATGTAATTTTATTTTGACGATCAGAGAAATCCAATTCAAGATCTTGTTTTAATAAATTAACTTCTTTTAGGCTACAATCAATTGCACGATTTGTTAAATTAATTAATTTATTTAATTGTTCAGATGGTATACCAGAAGCTCGTGTAACTTGAGAGGAACATTCACTTTCTACCTAGAATATTTTTAAGAGAGATAGAGAGAGAGGGGTATATTGAAAGATTAATAAATGCGTTAATTTTCTATAGTTTGGTTTGTAAGGGTTAGTTATGTTTTTACGAGTTGATCATCCTAGTTTAGGATGAAACAGCAGCTGTCCATTACTCCCTGGTTTTCAATGGTTCGCTAACTGATATCAATCCGTGATCAACTTCGCAAAAAAATACATTAATATTAAATCTTTCTGGCTTAGAAAATATCTTGAGATTTATTCGATTTTCAACAACATTAAGAAAATCAAAAGTTTTAGGTACACACAAAAATTTCTGAAAAGATTGATGGATTCTCACACGCCATAACTTACAACCAATTCTCAATTGTCTAAGCACAATAGAAAACCTTCTATATGAGAAGGGATATCCAGAAAAAATTGTTTATAGTTTCTATGATGAGAAAAGACAGAGAGAAATGCCTACAAAGTGTGAAGAAGAAATATACATATATATATATATGACGCAACTACTGAATTACTGGCATCGAAACTCCGAAAAAAAATAATAGTTAAAACATTCTTTGCTGCAACAATATGTTTAAAAATGCATCAGGTGAATGTGCATTTGTACATTTAACTCTTTTTATGGAGAACGACTCGGGAAGCCCACCGTCGCATTTTTGAGTACTGTCCATATATGGTCAGGTGAAAGGGTCGTAAAGTCAATCAGGGATTCTCTATGGACAAATCTTGTCGATAAAAAAAAAAATCAGTCTTTATAATCCTATAGTGAGGTGGCATTTTAATTCCCTAAGTCACTGTTACTATACGGATCCGAGACTTGGCATTGCATCACGAAGGGTACTTCGAACAAACTACAGGACTTTCATCAACAGCTGTCTTCACTTAATACTACTCAAGATCAGATGGCCGGCCAGAAAAGATCAGCAACAGGGAGAGATCTCTGAGAGCGAACCAACCCAGAAGGAAACAATTGTGCAACAAATAAGCAGGAAGAAATGGAGGTGGATTGGCCATACTCTGAGAAAACAGACCATCGACTGAGATCACACGACAGACCATTGCTCGAATGGAACCCAAACGAGAAGCGGCAAGTTGGTCGTCAGTGTGAGGGTGACATGGAGTTGGTCATGCGAATACGAGATGAAAGCGCATGTGGGCAGACGTGGAGCCAGGTGAAAACGTTGGCAGAGAACCGAACGCAATGGAGACATGCGGCTGAAGCACTATGTTCCTCTAGGAAATAAAGGAAACAATAATATAATAATGATAAGTTTGTACGCCATCACAATTGCTAAGCATAGCTGAGAAGGCTGCTAACTTTATTATCAACATCATACTGTGCTATAGTTGCATATTTTAAAAAATCTTATTTCCACAAATACGTATTTGCTTGCTTAAATCGTGTTCTATAACTGTCTAACTGACAATATTACCAAATAGGAGTGAAACTAGCAAAATAAGAGTAGAATTTGGGGACACTGTGGTACAACAGTACAATACAATATTTGATAGAATAATACACAATGACACAATACTGACAACTGGATGACATTTCGAGCACAATTTATTGCTCATAATCTTAATAGTGTATTCTTACAAGACTTGCTTTATGTTACCTTACTCCCACCCTATTTGTTCATTGCAGTTTTCTGTATATCCAGTACAAGCGTTGCATCATTTCGATTACACGTGATTGATATTGATTCAATGAATTTACTATGACCTAGAATGAATGACCCTGTTAAGTTTAGAAACAGTCTTAGCCATTCCAATGCATTCACTTGCATGTAATCACACAATAGGATGGGACAAGGTTGATAATATTAAAAAGTAATATAGCCAGTTAGAGAGAGTGAGAGAGGTTAATCACCAAATCTTTGTTTATCAAGTCAACACTAAACACATGCAATCGCAATGACGACGCAACGCCTATACTGGAGATGTGGAAAACTGCAGTAAAAAAACCGAAGGGAGTGAGACAATATAGAGGAAGTTATGAAGTTGTGTGAATACGTTGATGTGATTATGAACAAGAGAACTGTGCTCATAACATCATTTGGGTTATTAATACTGTATCAATGTGCCATACATATCAAATAAACTTCTCTAATATGTTTGAAATTGAACTGAGAGAAATACACCAATTACTTTATTTTTGAAGCATTTACCCATGTTAGGTCGTTGGAGACAATCGGCAAGAAGCCCAGCCTGACCTGGGTTTCGTGCTAGTTGGCATTCGTGTCAGCAAGGTGTATCTGCACCGAACAAAGGACTAGACACATCCCACCAGTTACTAGTGTCCAATAAAAGCATCTACCCATATCAGATAAATTTGTTTGATATATAATACGCAGTGATACAGTGTTAATCACTGGATGACGATGTTTTGAACACAACTTACTGCTTGTAATTACATCAATGCATTCACACGACTTATTAACTTGCCTACCTAGTAGTAAGTCAGGAGATTTAAATAATAAAATAATACAAATAGGGAGAACACTACTATTGAATAACTAGGCACCAGCAGAATTTATTTCAAAAATACATTAAGATCCATAAGAAGAATAAAAATAGTAATGAAAATTAGCATAGAATTATATACTACTGATTGATTGCTATGAGTAGTTGGATACCACTCATATCAACCAGCAGTGCTTGCTAACCAGTCAGGTCGAGGTGATGTAAGTACTGGACGGTTATTTCGCCCGTTTGCGGTTGAGCTCATCAACGGTGTGCCCAGGTTTGATTCTCCTCATAGGGAAGAATCAGTTGAAACCATCCGATTTCTGACTGTATAGCTACTTGGGCGAACTGGCACTACCAAAAATCAAAATCACAACTTGTAATCCACATAGTTCGAATGGTGAAATTACAGATTGCATATTGTAGTCTTAATAACTTGGTCTCTAACCTATTCGCAACTTGTTAATTTGATTTATAGTAGTGAAAAGAGAAACGAAAATTTATACAACTAATCAGAAATTCAAAGCCTAGATAGTGCTGCCATATAAAGAAGGATTCTTAACAAGGCTGAGATGAGGGTGGCATTTGAACCAGCCAACTCACTCGGAGACAAATATTTTTGTAGAGATTTTTGTTTGATTGGTTAGAGGGTTTCATAATGAGCTGACATCAGTTAGAGAACCATTGGGAAACCAGCTCACGGTACTGGACATCTGTTTCATCCTAGTTTGGGACCCTTCAGCAGTACTCACCCACCGCTAATGTTCGAACCCAGGACCTTCTGGTTACAAGGTGAGCTCGTAGATCATTAAGCTACTTGGACCCAATCCAATGGGTGCATACTGTCGAAGAGTCCTAAACTAGGATGAAACAGCTGTCCAGTACTCCCAGGTGGTTTTCCAATGGTTCTCTAACTGATGTTAGCTTATGGTGAAACCCTCCAAACAATCTAACAAAAATCCTTACAAAACCAATACATGACAAATATCTTTGGTTTATTGACCCAATAGATCCAATTAAGAGCAAATAATATCATTTACCAAATACCATGTAGAGACTGTGAGGTAAATTATATATATATAAATAGGTCAAACTACTAGATTGCTGTCAGTCAGATTATTGGAATATAGGCGTTTAGCTAGATATAAAATGAGTGATCCCACCAAGATAAATATTCCCGCGAAAAGCTCAGCCATTACAGTTCACTCACTTGCATTCACTCACGCAATAGCGTGGAATAGAGTACAAGTATTAAAAATTAATAAAGAATTAGGTGAAGACAGAAACAGACAAGTTTAACACTAAATCCTTATTCTTTATCGGAGCAACACATGCAGTCGAAATGATGCAAAATAACGATTTTAAAAAAAACCAGTAGGAATTAAGACTATACATATATAGCAACTTATCAGGTTGTGTGAATACCATCATATGATTATGAGCAATAAATCGTGCGCTCAAAACGTCATCCACTTATTACTACTGTATCACTGTGTTATGTCGAACAAACTCATCTACTATGGAATGAAATTAACACCGTTTGATATTTTGCCGGTATTTTGATTGGACACTAGTAACTAGTGTGACGTGTCTAGTCCTTTCTTTGGTACAGACTGAATTCTATCAGTCAGGTATTTGCAATGTGGCCACCATTCTAGGTAGCTCGCCATCACTGTGCACATTGATTTGATGATATTTGGTAGTTGGAGGACTAGACATGTCACACTAGTTACTAGTGTCCAATCAAAATACCCACTACAGTCCTACAGGAGGTCAATCGCTAGCCCGAATAGCTCAGTGGTTACATCTCTGACTGCGGCACTGGGTGATGCGGGTTCGAATCTCAGAAGAGACATGAGTTCCTTCAAGGTTGCAGATACGCCTTGCTGATGAGTGCCAACTAGCACGAAACCTAGGTCAGGTGGGGCTTCCTGCCGATTGCCTCCAACTATCAAATATCATCAAATTTTCTCGGTATATTTTTCACAAGGTGTCCTTATTTTTTTAAGTAGTTTTGAATTAAAACCACATACAGATGAAACATGCAATTGTAGCACTCTGAATCCTTTAATCAAATTTCATACTCCCCTATATAAGGCAAAAAAGACAGCATTGTATTTTTAAAACAAAACGAAAAATGCTGATAAAAAAAGAACTTATATCCATCTTCAAATATAAACATTAGAATATGTGAATACCTCCGTGCTTGTGAGTTGAAGAATTATTACTTTAAGAAAAATGAATAGTAGGAACCTTGAAGTGAAAGGCGTAGGGATTTTTTAAAAATAGTAATATAAGTCAACACTGTTATATTATTTGCAAAAAACTACAGCTTAGTTGTTTAAAGTTAGGGAATACTCTCTGTAGTCGAACACTGAAGCCGTTTTTAACCTATGAAAATTTAACTGATTAAAAATACCCATTAAAATTTTTCAAAAGAATGGTTACTAAACAAAGAATATTCTTTTCCATAATTAATTCCTTATCAGGTTTTACAGTTATATATATATATATACATATATATATATGCATATATATATATATATATATATATATATAACGGTCAAACGAAAACATGGCACCAGTCAATGAAATCCACAACAGTTAGTCTAAGCCACGTAGGAAGATGTAGACTTCCTGGTTGGAGTCCTCGGGATAGTAAAACCAATGGTTGGAAACAATTGGTGACATGGCTCAAAATCGTTCTCAATGGCTGGCGCAGATGCATCCACTCCTTGTGACTTATGATTTCCAATGAAACTGTTTTGTTCTTCGTTATTACTATTCCTTTGTCTCACACCTCTGTTTACTGTCTCTATTATGCATTTCTTCTACTTTCTTCTCTTGCTTTGCGTGCTACATGGATTGTGGCGACTTGAACTGCCGCACATATGTGCAAAGTTCTATGTCAAAAACCGACCGACCAACCGTTATATATATATATATATATATAATGAATGAATTAGTGTTATTAACAACACGATCGGTAGTGATTCTCCAATTGAAAGATGAAGTACCTAGACTAGCTAGCCACTTCGAATTGTATCATCTACCAATTCAAATGCGTTTGTGGAGCGAGTTATATTGGCTGTTGCTCTAGAAATTTGATTTTTCGTGCTCACTCAGGAAACCTACCAGTGTGGCTAACTAAAGATGTAGTGAGAAGCATCAATAGCTCGATATTAATACACCTAGTCCAAACCGACCACAAAGCCAGTGTTTAAGAATAGTTCTCTATCATCTACCGGGTACCAAATAAATTGCACAAAAACATCCAGGTACCACATACTCTAAACAGCTGAGGCCATCGCGATTCGCCTGAAGAAACCAATGCTCTGTGTGCAGAATAAGCAAGTCCAGCCACTTCTACTGCTTTGGCCTTCAGTGGAGACTATAAATTCATGAAAATGTATTATTATTTATCTTAATTTTTCTGATATTCAGTGTGTAGTGTTATGTTGATGCTATCGAACTGTAATCCATTGATACTATTATAATTATTGATTTGATGCTGTTCAGACATTAGTGTTGTTAATGACACTAATTCACCATTATGTATATATAACTGTAGAACCTGATGAAGAAGGGGTTATCGAAAAGAATATTCTTTGTTCTACAACCATTCTATTGATATTTAACAAAGATCACGGGGAATTATTAAAAAGGCTTAGTTCATCGTTTGATTATTGAATCGTTATGCCTAAAATATCAGCAATGAAACTGTAATTTACACTCCATTACACAAACGTGCAATTAAGTCAGTTCTTAGAGCAGATAACTGCCTAACATAACTGATACGTTGAGAAGTAAGCTAATAAGTAGGACAATACACAAATACAAACTGTGACTTGTTGATATATATATATATATATATATATATATATATATATATATTCAACTTTTAACCAAAGCATAAGGATTTCAAACAGTATTTTTTCATCCCCAGAAATTTGAGCTGCTGTGTAGTATAATTATCTTTAACATGAGAAATGTGATTTATTGACTAGTGTGCTAAAGCAAGCACATCACATTACTTTTGATGTGGTTGTGTTCCCTGAGCTGGATGGTTAATTTGCGAAGCTTTCATCACCCTACTAGGCAACATCTTCAGCGCATACTACAGTAAGCTGAAGTGAGCTTTCAGATTTCTCCACGAGTTTATTATTCATCTCTTCTGGTGACCTTCAACGCCATGACTGGTTGTTTTTGTGTGTTTTCACACTCTCTAGACTGCTTGTATTGGTACTGATTGTTTCCTTAACCTGAACTTTGTGTGTGAGATTTCTTTCTTATCGACTGGTAAGTTTCGTTTATGTTGATGTGTCTACCAAATCAAAGGCAGCCCTACCATATATAAAGAAGATCTCAGAAATCAATGCTGGACACTTCATACCTTTAGGATTTGACGTCGCACACAAACCAACAAAATAACTTCACTCAGTTCCATGTCAACCAAAAGACTCAACAGCGAAAGAAGATAAAACCAACATCATCTACAAGATAAATTGTAACAACTGCGAAAAAACACTACATTGGCCAAAGTGGACATCCCCTATCCACGAACATAAGCTAGCCGTCAAAAGACATGACATCCACTCCCTCATATCACTACATACGGACAACCACGGGCATCAATTCGATTGGGACAATGTTCAAATATTAGAAGCTTGGCATCCCAGTGAATCATCAATCAATAGACACATCGAAATAGACAAAATTTATCAACCGATAAGAAAGAAACCTCACACACAAAGGGTCAAAGTTCAAGTCAAAGAAACAATCAGTTCCAATACAAGTGGCCTAAAAGGTGTGAGAACGCACAAAAACAACCAATCACATCCAAGGTCACCGGGAGAGATGAATAATAAACTCGTGGGGAAATCTAAAAGCTGACTTGAAATTGAAGTGTGCGCTTAAGATGTCACCTAGTAAGGTGATGAAAGCTTCGCAAATTAACTATCCAGCTCAGGGAACACAATCACATCAAAATCATCCACCTGAGCTACAAATCTTCTCCATCATATCTACATCACATTACGTTTCTTAACACAACACGTAATAAAGTATGAAGAATACAACGTACTCATTTTATCCCTAAGGCTTGTGTGTAAGCATGTAATGAGGTTCTATGATGAGACAACATCTTCTGATACAAATTTTATATATATATACTTACTTTACTTTACTTCGGCTATCTCCTACGGGAGGATGAGCCGGCTTCATGAACATCTCGAATCATCGCTGCCCAGGAGCGCCGATCTGATGCAAGGTTTTGCGACAGGGTAAGAGAGTTTATGGAGTACCGTTTCATCAAGCTAAACTCACAGAACGACTCAACTAAGCGGCACATTATGAGATTATATATTTGACTACAAAACGCAATTAACTTGTGAGGCCTTAAGATACTAGGTAGTCACTTTATCACGGTTTGAACCCAGGACTCAATATATATATATATATATATATATATATATATATATATATATATATATATGAAAGCCGAATGTCTTAGCCAATGAACTGCATCTGTCCATTCTGATTATACATTCATTTCTTTAAATACAAAAGCGTTTCCTGTTAAGTGGGAGGAGGAGGGAGGTGCAGAGCATTCATTTGTGAACTTGATTTTCAACTGATACATCTTGGATTCAAATACTGTTTTGTTTATTTGAGTTCGGATACCGTCATAAATCGTCTAGTAGTAGACCAGTGCGTGAAAAACACTTCCACCAGGTAAAATAAGCTAGACCTAGAATGATTGACCCCGCTAAGTTAGATAACTTAGAAGAAAAAATTCAGTCACTGAAATGCACTCACTTGCATGTAATCACACAACGACAGAGTGGGAGAGGATGTAAGTAGTATTAAAAAGTAACATAGTTAGATGGACAAAGAGGTTAATCATCGAATCTTTGCTTATCGAATCAGCATTAAAACACGTGTGTGTGATAGAAATGACGAGAAGCCTACACCCCGGATATATGAAAAATTGCAGTAAGGAAACAAGAGGGAATGACACTACACAAAATAAGCCAGGAAGTCGTGTGAGTACATTGATATGATTATCAGCAATAAATTGTGCTCGTAACGTCACCCAGTTATTATTACTGTATCACTGTGTGTTATGTCAAATTAACTTATCTAATGTGGAATCACATTCTACCACAGTGCCCAAGTTCTGCACTTACGTCGGTAAATAAGTTGCTTTTACAAAAGTCAGTAAACTATACAGCAGCTGAAAACAATACAATAGTAACAATAATAACATACTATGAATTTACATTTATTTTCATTACATCACTCACTTTTGGATCTAATTTAGTTCGAAGATACTGGGGTACAGTATCATGATTGAACAGTGAAAGACGTTCTTCAGTAATTTTAGCTAAATTTGCATCTTGTTCAGGATTTAACACCATTGGTGTAAGTACCAAGGTATGCTCATTTGAAAAACGTTCTGATTCGAGTACTTTACGAATTTCACTTAATTCTGATGCACATAATGCCAATGTACTCAGGTAACTTGGCCAGTCACATCGATCACCCTAAAAAAAGGAAAAGATTGAAATAACCAAAACATGATAAGAAACGCATCCATACACAAAATAGAAAATTAAGTATGTGTTAGTGGAATTGAAAAGGAAACTTCAAAAACTTTTGCCTATAAGTTACTGAGTAAATAATGTCGCAATATAGAGAAAGGTAGAGGAAAGCCGAACAGGACAAAGAGCAACACAAACATCTACTCTTTTAATTTGTCAGACTATGCAATAGCAAAAATATGGTGAAAGATAGTGAAGAATAACAACATAAGGAAACAGAGGAAAAACAAATAAAAGTCAATAAAAAGTTAAAATATTTGGGTCATTGCATTTCGATCCAGTGGCTAAATAGTAACATGTTTACCAAGTACTGTCAAGGTCTTGGATGAGCAGTGATGGAGAGTCGTAGACTATAAAAAAAACAGATGACTTGATTTCCCTAATTTTCAATCTTCTTATGGATGATTTTAGTGTACCATGCAAGTGAAGATTCCTCATTTGAAGTTACATATTGGTGTAGGGGCTTGAGGAAATTAAACTACCTGTAATTAGCTACTTCTAACGAAAACAGTAAATCTACCAAATGCCGATGAGACTTTTTAAATGATTCTAAATATGACGACACTCGGATGTCTGGCACCCTATCAAACAATGACTATATTTCATTATAAATAAGATTTCATTTTTATAAATCACGCAGTGTTATACAGTTATATTAACTGATGACCACCTTTCGAGAACAAATTATTGCTGCTCATAATGTTATCAAGTCACTCACAACTTTTTACTTCATTTATATACATGAGTGGAACTGATTAGACATTTGAATAAAAATCAATATAGGATAATGCACATTCAGAAATAATATTAGTGTTATCAATCAAATACAATCAGATGGGGTGGCATTCAAACCTACGAACTCACTCAAGTAAGACAAGCTCTGTAGACTAAAGGACCCTGTATGTTGACCCAATTAGACAAAATAATGCTGTATAACGCTGCGTGATTTTTAAAAATAAAATCTTATCTATAATGGAACTATACTCTATCACAATGCCCAAGTTTTATACTTATATCAATAATGACTATATTTCACAAGTCTATTTCGTCACATTTCATAGATGTGGTGTAATCATTAATCTAAGAGGATTGGGGAGGTTACGGCTTTTAGTTATCTGTCTTCATGCCATAGCTAACGTGTGGTGAAACTGCAGAGCAAGGTAAAGCTGAGTCATTATAGATGCACTTTGAGTTCTTTACCGGGTGAGGCGATCGGGATATTTTTTGAACATCCTAAGTCAGTCTTCTTTGGTGAGCATTTCTTGTCTACGAGATAAAGGAAAATTTAGTCAAGTTTATGACCGGTAATTTCAATCAGACAGAGGATAATAGAGTATGACAGTATATCACAAGATGACAAGAACGAACAGTTGGAGTTCTTTTCTGATACAGCCGAAAATTAGTCTCCTTCTATCATCAATGTTTCGGATGTGTTCACTACAGTTTACTAATATATACACAGGTGAATCATTAATATTCATTATTTATTTCACACACTAGCATAATCATTGATTTCCCGCATCTGCGTGATTATTGATTTTAATTACTGAATTCCCATGGTTTGTTAATATTTTTAAAATGTGACATTGATTTTCCTAACTGTATAAATACGGAGTTGTTGTTTAACATTTCGACTGTTGTTAGAGACAGTAAAAGCTCTCGTATCAACGTCCAGTCTTTTTTCTTTGTCTTGCGTGCCCGGCGGTATTGTTGTTGTTGTTGTTGACGTGCGATTAGGACAGATTAGCCAGCGCATTAGTTAGATTCGCTCGTAGTCTACCAGGTCCTAATATTTACATACATAACAAATTTGGCGACGGGTTTGCTGAAGATGGACCCACTGCGTTTAGAGAAACTAATGGAACAGCAGCTAAAATTGATGGAAATGCTTGCTGGTCTACAAATATCACGCTCTGCTGATTCATCTACAGCCAACGACAGCATTAGTAGTAGCATCTCAGAATTCGTTTATGATCCAGATGCGAACGTAACATTTGATACCTGGTTTCGCAGATATGAAGACCTATTTCGAGTAGACTTTGCGGATAAAGATGATGCCTGGAAAGTACGGCTTCTACTTCGTAAATTGGGAGCAGATGAGCTAGATAAATACTGCAACTTAATTCTGCCACAGAAGCCCAGTGAAAGATCATTCGATGAAACTGTCCATACCCTTCGTCATCAGTTTGGTGATCAGAGATCGTTATTCAACATTCGATATCATTGCATGAAACTAGTTTTGAACGAAAATGATGATATCCATACTCAGTTGAGTATAGTTAATCGCACGTGTGAACGTTTTAAATTGAAATCACTCTCAGAAGACCAGTTCAAGGTATTGATTTTCATTTGTGGTTTGCAGTCTCCCAAATTTGCTGATATACGCACACGTCTACTAAATCGTCTGGAACAAGATCCACGAATGACTTTGAAAGACGTCGGTGAAGAATATCAGCGTTTAATCAACATTCACAACGATACCGTCTTGGTGCAGTCTGGCAGCCAAAATGCAGCGGAAGTGCATGCGGTGCATCCAGTACCGTCGACATCAACCGCACCGTTTCATCCTCAGCATAAACCACCATCAGCCTGTTGGCACTGTGGCTCCTGGCATTTTGCAAACTTGTGCCCATTCAAACAGCATAAATGCCGTCGATGCCATACTGTTGGTCATAAAGATGGCTACTGCAAACGCAACAACCGACGCAGATCTCATAGTCGACCCAGACGGCGCAACAAGCCCAAGTCTTTGGGGGTTACTGCCACATATCATATTAGTACTCCAGCACCTCGCAAATATATCGATCTGACGATTAATACACGGCCGGCACGCCTACAAATCGACACAGCATCCGATATTACAATAATATCAAAGAAATTATGGCAGAAGTTGGGATGCCCTACCATAGAGAAGACAAATCAGATAGCAATTAGTGCATGTGGTGGAAGACTTCGATTGAATGGAGAAATTAAATGCAGCGTTGATTTTCGCGATAGTCATTTCGTCGGCACATGCTACATCAACAATTCAAACCTTGACCTCTTGGGTTTAGACTGGTTCGAGAAGCTGCACCTGTCAGAGATTCCGTTAAGCAGTGTATGCCATAAGATCGAAAGTATTGAACCCTCAACAAGAAAGCCAGAAATGAGAGACAGATATATAAAACCAAAACCCATTATACAGAATGACGTGATTAACGAAACACCAACTTCGAATCATCATAGTGAGTATGGCTGCGCCAAAAGTGCTTCGATGTCTGGCAGCAACAAAGTGGCAACTGTTAGCTCCAGTAAGAGAGGCTCTGCTCAAAAACTGAAAGTGATGTCTGTCATGGCAGCCAAAGATCCGCCACCGAGAGCATGGCCCACGTCAAAACCATGGTCCCGCCTACATGTGGATTTTGCTGGGCCGATAGAAGGTATATACTACTTGGTTCTCGTGGACTCTTACTCAAAGTGGCCGGAGGTAGTACAAGTGACACCACCTTCTAGTAGCAGAACAGTATCAGTCCTGGAAAAGATCTTCGCATGTCACGGTATACCAGAAATCATCGTATCTGACAATGGCAGTCAGTTCACCTCACAAGTGTTCCAGGAATTTTGCAAGAGAAACGATATACAACACGTGCGGACGCCACCTTATCACCCTCAATCCAACGGTCAGGCAGAAAGATTTGTCGACACTTTCAAACGAGCGTTGTTGAAAGCAGGGGGAGGGGCGAAACCGGAAGCAATACAAAACTTTCTTTTTGTATACCGAACTACACCACTGGCAGAACAGAAGAAAAGCCCTGCAGAACTTCTAATGGGTCGAATGCTACGAACTCATCACCACTCCATGTTACCATCTTCGTCACATCAACGAAGAAATAGTCTGACGTATTACCGCAAGGGTGATGCCGTCTATGTGCGCGATTATCGACCGAGGAACAGAAAATGGGCCGAAGGCTTGATAGAATGTTGACATGGAACTCTAATGTACAAGGTTAAAGTTGGGGATGAATGGTGGATAAGACATAAAAATCAGATACGACGTCGATATACTACATCCCAAGAACCTAAATTGCCACTGGATTTACTACTAGAAACTTTAAAAATACCACCAGTCAAACCAGAAGCAAAACAAGAGATGCTACCCAGCCGACGATCCCAGCACAAACGAACACAAACAGTTCATTTCCAAATCGACTCCAAGGAAAAAAGATAATAAACTGTTTGCAAGATTCTTTTTAAAAGGGGGAGGTAATATATACACAGGTGAATCATTAATATTCATTATTTATTTCACACACTAGCATAATCATTGATTTCCCGCATCTGCGTGATTATTGATTTTAATTACTGAATTCCCATGGTTTGTTAATATTTTTAAAATGTGACATTGATTTTCCTAACTGTATAAATACGGAGTTGTTGTTTAACATTTCGACTGTTGTTAGAGACAGTAAAAGCTCTCGTATCAACGTCCAGTCTTTTTTCTTTGTCTTGCGTGCCCGGCGGTATTGTTGTTGTTGTTGTTGTTGACGTGCGATTAGGACAGATTAGCCAGCGCATTAGTTAGATTCGCTCGTAGTCTACCAGGTCCTAATATTCACATACATAACATTTACTTAGTCATTACTGTTCACTATCATTACTGTTTACCTGAAGTTTGCATTTATGCACAGTATGGAGACTTGAATTTAACTGTATTGTTCTGCATTGACTTGTTTCTTTTCCCTTAAAAGCAGACGCAATAAAATGTAACCAAACATTTCAAATAAGTGACATATTCCGTATAAATGAGTACACTCCATTTTGGCTATGTAAATTTTGTCATCAGTACACTAAGTACATGTTAAGGGTGAGCAGCAAACAAGAAATGTTACAGTTTAGAGAACCATTAGCTAGGAAACAGTTAGAACTAGAATGAACGATTAGCAAGAGACTGATTTCTGTATTACCTCTTCAAAACATAAGCTTGAGTTAAAACAGAATCAAGATATATGCCACATAAACCATGTACAAAACTTTCTAAACTCTGATTAGCGAAGCTAAAACCTGAGGTTTACTGACTGAAGGTCAACTTGCCCAGACCAACTAGTTTTAGTTTCATTATTATTTCAACAATAAACTAAGCATAACAGACTTTGGTAGAAAACGAAACCTTCAATACTGAAATTTAAGCAGTTAGTTAGCTAACTAGTTCAAATACACACAGTAAAACTTACTTGAGTTTCTAGCTTGATTACTAAATCCTGAATTTTTTGTTTCAGCTTAAGAGTCGCTGTGTACAATGTATTGATATTTTCTAACTGACGCTTCTCAGCAAGTTGCATTGGAAAATCAATCAGTTATCATATACTTTAAGTAATCCTTTTTGTGTTGAAATCGAAACAAATAAATCAATGTTGACTGGTAGCAAACTCTCTGTACATATGGTATATTGAGCCCACGTAGAGAAAAGTCTAAATGAAATAGTACAAAATACGACTCTGTAGTGTATTAAACATTTTTCAGTTCAGTATTTTGCATAAATAAGAAGATTAAAGATAAATAGTCACAAATCAGGAAATACCTTAGCTGTACCTAGTTAACTTACAACAGACTACAGTGAATGTTCAATCATTCGCCTACAACTTTAGAAAAGATGGTACTGAACAACCACCTCCATTTCCAGTCAGGTGAAAATGAGTCAGACTTAATGTGTGTGTGGAGAAGGACTTAGATCCGAAATCCAAGGGTTGTTAGTTCAACGAATCTTAGCTTACAATTTTGACAACTACTGTATCACTGAGACTGATTAACTATTGTTATCGAAGCCTAACTCAGTGAAAAGAAACCGAGAGACTGATGGTTTTCAATTCAGTAAGCAGCGATGACCTCTTTCAGATGAGTTTAAGGATACAGTAAATCCAAGTAGATACACAGATTGCAGTAAATAAAGTCCTAGTAGTAATTACATAGTCAATGACTAGGTAGGTCTATACAGTAAGAGGTAGAAAAGTGTACAGCTCGGCACAAAAGCAGAGCTGTTAACTCTACTAAAATTGCTGAAAATAGATCTCATAAAAGCAAATAAGTTTATTGAGCCGAAAGTAACTATTTAACTACTAGCCAACGACAAATGTCTTTAAAAGTAGCATTTGAACTAGTTTGCATCAATTGCACTAGCTTAACTGCAAATATTTCGTAATAAGTTAAAACCATCTTAACGGCTTATGGCATTAATTTGTAAAATGGGACACAAAGGTAAAACAGTAAATCGCCTGAACCAGTATTCGTTTTATATTTCAGCCATCTTGTTATACTTCAGTTGGTATGATAAGAAAAACCACCACGAAGATTATTTCTAAGGTTATTCATAGGGAGTTTAAGTCCACAAAAAACACCTTGCGATAAAATCAAGGGAAACCATATAAAAAATTTTGGGCAGATGTTTAGCGGAAATCCTGGGGAAATGCAACATTTTCCCCCGGAATCACCCAGATGTCCCCAACAAATTCATAAGAACTACCAAATTGCCCCAAACATTTTGATTTCGGCAAACCAGTAAGTGACTAAGCGTCGGTGGCACAGCGGTTAAGATGCTCGCTGACCATGCACATGGTCCGGGGTTCGATCCCCGACCGACGAAGCACTCCTTTACCTCGCTAAGCCAGAAATAATGCTGGTGAAGAGGAAAGGTTGGGCATGAGGCTAGCAACCCCACCCTGTAAAATAAATACTGCTACAGAAACTTCAAGCCACTAGCTTGAAGCCCTATGTTCCACTGGGGAACATGAAGGAATAAAAGAAAGTAAGTGGCTAAAGAGATAATATTTAGAAAAATAAATAAAACATTTCCACGAGTGTCTACAATTCAGAAAGTAGGTACGTAGAACATATCAGCTACTCAATACCATTTGAGAACTCATATTCCTCAAATATGAATAACGTATTGATGGTTAGTGATTGAATTGTCAAAATAAGCCTATCATGAGAAAAATTGTGTTCAGAGTCTGGGAACAATATTTTATCAAAAGTAGTCGAAAAGAAAAGTGATATAGGCAGATTTTGATTGGCTGTTGGCTAGCTGGCTTCTTATTGGTCTAAAATATAAGTTAAAATGTCAGTCTCTTTATTTTGACACGGAAATTTACAGTCAGTTTAATTTCAGGCTTAACCTACCATAATATAACGGCGTGTTAATTTTTTTGGTGTGAGTGTAGTGTGATAGTCACACGCTATTTGGATGCATTTGTGGTATTTAAAGTACATTGAGATGTATGAGAATGTCTAGCAAGTGAATATAAATTAACAATAATTTTGATGCATTTATTTTAAGCCCAAAATAGGATGTATGCATTTTTGCTTACTAGGCGAATATAATTCAACTACAATTTCTAAACATATAATGTCTTTAATTAGAACATATAGATAAATGTATGTATTAACTGATCCACTTTTTTAAGTTGTTAGTTTAGTGACCTGTGGGATTTCTGCATATTAGGTCAGCATAAATCAGTTAAATTTACTAGGTCACAACAGTGGTTTATGAGCACTGAAATATATACTATTATTCATCTACTTGAGATTATAATGTTGTGTTCGTTAGTCATTGTTAAAACCATTACATGACGTTACAAGATACTCCTGCAACCTCTACTTCACGAAATGTGTCATCTATATTGTCTGATGTAATGGCTATATTCCAAAGAATAAAGCTTAGTTGTGTATTTTATACGTGGGTGCAACTTAAGCAAGCTTTTGATACATTTATGAAGGTAACAACTAAATTGTTCATTATTTCTTTGAAAGGAATCCAACACATCCTAACGGCTTGATTCAGGTAAAAAAGACCTATCTGGCCCTATGGAATATAAGTTTGTGAGGTATGAATGCACTTTTGGAGGTATAGTTTAGTAAGCTTGGGACGCTTAAAATACCAACCTTGCAACAATTCTCAGCAAAGTCTAACCAACGCGTCAATAATGCCTTTTTACGGTAAATGAATATTTTATCTACTTGAAGTGAACCCAGTATGTACTGAAATAACCCTGGTCGTTGTAAAATGCTACTATATTTGGGTCTCGCCTACTCAGGAACATTCTGCCTCCCCCCTGTACTATAATTATAGGAAATTTTCCCTGGCAGTATACTTACTTTCGAGTACCAAATACAGCCGACTGTTTTTGGATGCTGTTCGGACAGATTGGAGTAATTTCTTACTGCAATATGAGAACTGTTTCGGAGGTGAACATATTGTTTACAATATTCATTTCCTGAAACGTACAGTAGATGACGTCGAGCTGCATGGGATTCAGTGCATTTCCCTTTGAATCCTATATGCGCATGATCAGACAGTTCGTGCACTGTGGATATGTTGTGGCTAAGCAGGCAGCTCAGCGTTATGTTGAGCACGTGCACTTAATGAAAAGTACAGGTATCAAGCATGTACCTATAGAAGCTAGTAGTAAAGGCGTTAAGTTTAGCAAAGGAAAGTTAACTTATCTGAACGTCATATTTACTTCTTATTCTCCGGACAATGTAATCTTAGCCTCAGGTTAACCGGGGGAATATAGTTGAAATGGAAAGTGAAGATAGGATACGCTTTCGACCCTACTGTGATTTTAGTGATGATTTTAATGCACCATTTAAATCAAGGAATTTAGGGATATTCAGATGTTCGAAATTCAGTCACGAGATGTAAGGTTCATTAATGAAGTACTTATTTCTGTAGCGACCAACTGATGACATCGAGAGAGGTTGGTGACATAATGGATTAGGCCACGAAATCGTACTTTCATGATTCGGAAGATCGTGTCCAAAGGCGTAACCTGAAGAAAGGAATTCAGGTAATACTGTTAAACGCCCGCTTCGTTTTATAGGTTAACGTTAAGACAACATCTAGTAATCACAACATTGTTTTTATTTCTAGGCAAATGGAAAAGATAGCAGGGGGATATGACAGTGGCAGTTATGTAAGCAAACTTTTCTAAATGTGAATGCTGAGAATGTGATGAGCACAATGTTTCGTCATGTGATATTTTATTTTGCTTATTTACAGGGTGCTACCAGTGGACCTAACTTGACGGATTAGCAGTGACATTATACTACCGTTTCCAAATATAATTTCCAAATTTAAGCTCAAAAAAATTGCCACTATGTGCTAAATTAAGTCTTTTTGTTCTGAAGTAAAGCTAGTCCGTACTAAAAATGAGCTCAAAGGGTTTAAATAAAGCTGATAAGCAAAACCAGTAGGTTCTCATCTACTCCTGAAAATGTCTAGAAAAAGAACATGGCGTTGAATTAGTGTCAGTCATGCTGAAAACCAAAACTGAGTTCTAGACTGTGACATTAAAGAGTCTATCTAGGAAAAGATCCAGAATTTACTGACTGTAGAACGTTGGAATTAGTGAGATTTAATTCAGCATTATGGTAAGCTTGGGAGAAGCAGAACCTGGACTAGAAGGGCTTCAATAAGGCTGATAAGCTACTTCTGATAATGCGTAGAATAAGAACAAGGTGCTGAATTGATGTCAGTCATGATGATAAACCAGCGCACAGTTCTACCTTAAGCAAATAATCCCTAACTGTTCTGCCACTGTTTGATCCAACAATGGCAGAACAGTTAAGGCGTTTAATTGCTGAGAAATGTTAGTATATCAGCATAGTATACGTGGATTGGCTCAATGATTGCAGATTTACCATAATCCTTAACTACCAACATAAAAACTGGGAACTGCAAGCTAAAAATAAACGTCATAGTAGCATCCAGTGACAAAAAACTGACCTACATACTGCAAAACAAGCAAAACGTTCAAGCAAACCTTTAAAATTCAATGGAAAACGAATTCACGAAAACATATAACCAGTAGACGCAGGAACCCATCATGACCTTGAAACTGACTATAGAGTCTTTCAGTCGAAAACACATGCAAAACCTCACCACCACCAGATTCGTAACGCACCAGTGTAAGTACGCGCTAGTTCTCCACTCAATGTATTATTCCGTTGACGAGATGGTGAAAACTAAAAAATTTCTTAACGATCGAATTTTGTTTATTGGAGCCGTTTTTAGTGGGAGAAGTTGAACTTCAGGCACTGAAAAGTACAGAACGCACCACTGACCATGGAGAGCCCAGCAAGTAAGTCAGTGAAACCATGTACGTTACACAATATTCATGAGAAAAAATGCCTGATGAAGTGTTATGTTGTAAGACAGGATATCTTGTACGCTTCAGGTGAGGTTGAGGACAGGTTATTATCCAGTTAACCTATTCAAGGAGGTATCTGTTGTTTTGAGTAAGACTGAGTTAAGGAAATATTAGGCTTACGGTCAGAAGACGAGGCTTACCTTTCAGCGTGATGGCTATTCCAAGGTCACTGGTGCGTTTGTGTCCCTTCGGAGACTGAAGTTTAACTTTGCCACCTTGTGTCCTTGGTGGACTCCAGAACAATCTATCCCCTCGACTAACACATTTTTGCCTATCATAATAAGAGCAGGTACATCACTTTATTATAGGGTAACTGAATGGTGTGTGCTAGAGCAGTGTTGACTCCGGGATGCGCTAATTCCGTTCTTCCGCGTGATCCTCCGGCTAGATCAATAATTATTCTGGAGAAGGCGATAATATACCAGTTCGGAAGGAATCTGGCGAGTTATGTGACTCAGTGGATGAAATGTAGGGAAAGAAAACTGGGCACAAATAAGAAAGCGAGGGTGCGTGCGAACATGACGGAAACAGGCAAAAGAGGCTAACTATGCTAATAGTGACATATATAATAAAAAATTATAGTAAAATAGTGAATTTGTAGTGGACGAGTTGTTTTGGAATTCCATCCTGGCCGATCTATTTATAATTCATCCTGATTAAGACGTTTCAACAAACCTTTTAATTATTATAAGTTTGTAGCGGTAGGTAATTCCACAGAATTAATAGCCACAGTACTCATCACTGAACACTGGATGCTAACCGTCACTGTTTAAGTCGATTTGTTTAGCTGAACGCTTAAGGTCAAGCATCCGCATCAGTTGAAACACCGTCGTGATACGATCGTTTGTTCGTGCACGACCCCTAGCTAGTTAAGTAGTCATCTTCGCACTCCGAATTGGTCTCGAAATATAATTCGTAATTTGGACAATCAATTCAGTTGATTGCTTTGCCTTTGGTTTGTGCAAAACGAATACCATGGAAGTTGTGGGTATTAGATCCTTTGTAAGCACACATTCTACTATCCGTGAACGTCAACACCCTCAGCCTCTAAACGTTTTTACCCTAGACTGTGTATCATTAATTTGTTATCTGCATATCATATTCTGATTTTGACCTTAAATATTCGCCTTTTTCCTTGTTTAATCTTCAGTTGTCCTAATTCTTATCGTGGTTGTATGTACATTGGCAGTGTTTTTAACGACGTTTGTTTGAGTGAAGATCATTCTGACTGTCTGTAGGAAGTGTTGATGTTTGATTTCTGCGGACAGGAGCTTTTATGCCACCTCGTTGGAAATATTCGCCTCTATTCCCAGGTACTTTCTGCCATTGAACTATAGTTAACAAATTCTGTCTTGCAGTACTTGTTTCGTATTCAGAAACAGACATTGTCTGTGTATCTGCCTCACAGCACTGTTGAAGCAAACGTGAGTTTCGATGTTATTGCTGCTTAATAGAACCGTTGAAATATTAGAGAATAGTCGTCTTTCTTCTGCCTTTGGAACTTTCTGTGATAGCGCGTGTGTAAACAAAGATTTGTCGGTTATACCGTCGAATGTAGGGGTCGGTTTCTTGCAGACCATAACCGAATAAATTTGGTCGTCACAAAAGTATATAAAGATGACTGAGATCTTTGTTGTCTGCCAGAACTGGCCTACTTCCCTTCACATAAATATGTTTTCTTGAAGCTGTCAGATAACGGAGTGATTTTCAAACCTGCCTGCAGTGAATTCAATGGGAAACGAACTTAGCCATTTGCTGTCGTTTTTTCCTTGATGAACGATTCTGTTAGATCGACCCTAGAGGCACCGCAGTGCCTTCCTGTCAATGTCTTATTGAATGCATTTGGCTTAGCACCACTTTGTATTTTGTGATGAGGTCGCCCTTCAATATCCGGGAGCTCAGGGTACTCAGATCGATATGTTGTAACCGGCCTCCATGCGCTTGACTCTTCAATCTAGTGACAGGTAGCTTTAGTTTTGATTTCGTCTCCCGCGTAGTTAGCAAATATGCCCAATCTATCTGTCAGAAGTTGCCCTAAATCGTGAACACCTTATTTCCTGACGTAAGAATGAACATAGCCTGACATTTGTTAGTGTTGGAGGCTAAACCATTTTCCATCGTCCAGTTGTCCAGGTTGGTTCGACTGTCCTACAACTTAAACGAATCTTAAGTTTCTCATGGCCCCACACAACTCTGTATGGCCCACGCATAGAAGTAATGGAGAAATCAAGTCGTTAGTGTGACCGTTTGTGAAAATCAGCTATAGCAGTGGACCTTGAATTGTCACTTGCGGTACCCTAGAAGTGACCTATCTCCATATAGGACATGCTGCATTTGCATTCGTGGAAAACTCATCGCCCTTCAGAGAAGTCCCAATCCAAGCTAGCAGTGAAATGAAATTCCTCGTATCGGCGCTCTCAGTGGTAACATTTCCTGAAACAACGAGTTGAACCACTCGGTAAGGTCCAAGTGAAGAGCACCAAATGAAATGTTCTGGTCACAGCGTGCTTCCCATTTATTCTGAGCTGCAAAAGCTGCCTTTTTCCTCATCCATTTTGGGCTTTATGCAAAGTTGTATTTCACTTCAGATTTCCTGTGATTTAATCACCCACTAGGCTATCCAGCACTGTTCTAGGATACTATGGGCTTAGTCTGCAAAAGCAGGTGATAGGATCGTCTAAATCCAATTTCCCCTATCCTGCTATTTATTCACTGAGTGCCTACTCGGCTTACTTAGTGGAGCACAGTGGTATAACACACTAGTTGAAAACAGTTGGTTAGATTCCTCCGAAACTTGCAAAGTTTTTGGACGATGCTTTGTTAATCTCAACAAACATGTTCAGAATTATTTGGGAAGTGTTAAACTCTGTGATATCAGACTTCACCGTGAGCTGCCAGTGTTCATTTGTCAAGCTGGCACCCACATTGCTTCGCTATCTTCCGAATTAGTCATCAAACGCTTCAGCTATGGTCAGTTTATGCAGGAGTTCACTTCTCTGATCTTTAAGTACTCATTAATGTTGATTAGTGCCTTTCATCAATAGGCTGCAGACTTTAATCAACAACTGCCTTCGCTCAATACCCAAGATCAAATGGCCAGAGAGAATAAGTAACAAGAAACTGTGGGAACAAACAAACCAAGAGCCGATCATTCAGCACATATGTAGGAGAAAATGGAGATGGATCGGGCATACATTAGGGATACCATCGAATGACATCGCACACCAGGTTCTCAAGTGGAATCCCAATGAGAGGCGGAGAATGGGTCGTCATAGGGTGACGTAGAGGAGATTGTGTGAGGAGGAAATGATAGACTGTGGACAACTGTGTTCCAAGCAGAATAGGACGGCAGAAAATAGGACAAAGTGGGGATGCGTCGCTGATGCCCTATGTTCCACTCGAAATTCAAGGTAATAATAAATAATAATAGTATAGTGCCTTTCATCTTGCCACTAATTGGTATAAATTCCTGGGTTTGATTCGTAGTTTCCTGAGTTCACCTGGTTCTGTCTACAGTCATGCAACACCAGACAGACTCTGGGAGTTCTGTCAGTATTTCGTTGATGGTTAAGCCTGACTGCAGCATGCTGCATATATATGCATAGGACCTCCCCTCATAAATCTCTTCCTCCTGTGCACGTTCTGTACATCGTCATCTCAGTTACTATCAGTCCTCAACCTACGACTCCATGATGGCTATGTCTACTTCAGAAAAACAGTAGTTATTATTAAGCCCTCGCTTTTCTTCTACATAGCTCACGCACTTTGACTTTTGTGTTTAACTCCTATTCAACCTATATAAGTAGGTAAAATTATCATCTTTTTTCACTTAAACTTTTTTTCTTTTCGCAAGAAAGACTAGAATTCCATCACTAGAGAATCTCAGGGGGAAATAGTATTTTTTAAATGAAAAAAAACAACAAAAAATGATGAACCCCATGTTTTTTATATATGATTTGAATAATTAACACCTATTATATACTTCTGCACCTCTCTGTCGGTTTCCTTGTGTCTTCTTCTCTTTTCAAAGGCACTGCCTTGAACGAAGGCACTGAAACAGTGCCGCTATCCTCAACTAGTTCGGAATATTGCTAGCCCACCTGGTGAATAACGGAACCACCTCTATCATGAAATCTGCTGACAAGTTCAAAGTTGGTCTCATATACAACTGGAAATGTCACAATTATGGTGTACTTACCGGTGATTTTGAAGTTTTATGGACTTTCAAACACTCTATGAATCATTTACTTACAATTACTGTTCATTCCGCATCTCTTATATTTCACGTCAGCACCTGTACAAAAATGCTACTTACTTTCCACAATTAACGTAATCGTGTATAATTCCCGCGTGAAATTGACATACCGTATTTTTTTCAATTACAGTTTTGATTTGATGCTATATCTCATGAATTATTCAGTTGAAAGCAGATCTCGAGAATTACCTATTGCCTTATTTGTACATTTCTTTTTAAATATTTCTCTCAAAATTACCAGTATTCAGTCTATTTCTAGATTAACAAATCATATATATTCTATAAGTTCTAATTAGTGTACATTTGTTCATGCCTGTAAAAATGGCTGGTTTCTGTTCCAGAAATAAAAATTATTATTATTAGAATGACTGCTGACAACGTGAGATACGGTCATGGTGACCCGGTTATCTTGCTTCTAAGGCCCATGGCGTTTCCTTCACCGATAATATTTTTTGGGTGGCCATGGGTCGTATCTTGTCCCGTTTAGCATGCCCTACAGGTGGTCAAG